AAAAAAAATGGCAGAGGAAAAAAGAGTGGGAGAGGAACATCGCCTCATCACTCGGCTGGTGGTGTGTGGGTCCTAGGACGAATAGTTGCACTCTGTGTCGTCTCGACACTCGTCTGACGTGACATCGATCGAGGGGCGGAAAAACGAATCAAGACAGCAACAGGGCTTCCACTATGCCCTGACCGTCGAAATATTGGGAGCGAGAGGATCCCTTCTATCACCCATGGGGCCATTGAGTATTCCTGAGGGAAAAACTGTAACCATTTTTATCGTGAACCGTGCCTTTAACTTTCAAACTTTGACAGGCAAGTTTCTGTAAAACTAACTAATATGGCAAGAATGAATCTTACTGAAAGCATTGTTCAGGTGGTTGAACGACCTGCTTGGACCTTCCTCTTGCACAACTCAAGATTCCCAATTCAGTTCAATGTAAGTGACTACATGATCGAGCATGAATCGCCCTTCGTGTCAACGTCTAATAAAATATTTTAGATCTTTAAAGGATCGAAATGAAGGAAATCAAGCGCATATTAAAGATACATGCCCATTATCCTGTTTAATTTTACGAGCAGAGGATACAATAGCGAATCATCCAGTTAGTTAGCCTCAACCCCAAAAACCATTTTTCTGCTGACCTGATGGTTTCAGTTGGCGTTGGCCCTCATCATCATGGTTGCAGTTCTGATTCATTGGTTTTGCTACTCGTCACGATCATGAACTCCCTCTTCGGAGAAGCTTACCCATGTCGTCCTTTACCAGACAGAGCATCCCCCTCAATCATGATCCGAAAATCGATTCGCACTTGCTATTGTTGCTTGCCGTTTTCACGCAAAGGTCATAGTACACGATATTAAACTCTGATAAACCTTCTTTGCTTGTTTACTGCGCACATTCGATTACGCCGTTCGAATGCGATAAGGTCATCGTCTGCCTGTGTCGGTACGAGTACATTGGTGCGTCCGGAGAGCACGTGACGAAATTCGTGGCCATTTGGACCACGGGCTGTATCACCAAGCGTAAAGCATGTACACAAAACATCGATGAGGCCCAGAGTTGAAGCTGCGTAAGCAAGCACATCGATTTGACCGTTATAAGGAAATTATACATTTATCCGCCGCACGATTTACCGCGTGCGTCTCCGGACGCATCAATTTTCCGACCCCGCCTGTCTGCGAAATTCTAAGTATAACCCGTCAAATGATGAACTGGCTGAACTCGCAATGTCAAGGGTCCGCACTGTGTCGATTGGAAAAGCAACTTGCAAACAAGAACGACGGGAACTCGCTTCACCAGAGCGCCGATTGAAGTGGGTCAAGCCTACCGATCCTCATTCACGCTACACTGACAAAAACTGCCACCCAACTACTACTCATGATACACGATTTGTTACCAAATGAGCAACCAAATTTCTCCTTCTTCGACGATTGTGGGGATTTCTTCCATAGACCGGAAAACGCAAAGGGCAAAAAGCCATTGATCATCAAAAATAAGATTTGTAGAAGTTGTTCTGTAAAAATACTAGAGCATCTTCAAAAAGGTCTTCCCTTTTGAAAAAAAAAAAACTCTGAAACACTCCGATATTATGATTAAAACATTCATTGTATTTTGCAAAAAAAAAATTAGCCGATTTAATTGTCTACACTGTCATGGACCTCACCTTTTCTGCCATCTTTATCACAGACGGTTTTTTGAGGAAAAGTCCGAGTGAGGAACAACAGATGTACTCGGAAACGTATCCCACAAAAATGAGGTATTTTATCGTACATATAACAACATCTATCAACATCTATACAAATAAATCACTAGCACTAAAATTAAATCATCTTTGCATAGGGCAATGTATTAAGAAAAGGAGAAAAAGCGTTAACAGACTCGTAAAAACTGCATTACTTAGAGGCAAACATCTCCTTCATTCTGTTCAAAGCAGATCCTGCTTTGAACCACTCTATTTGCTGTTCGTTGAAGGTGTGGTTAAGAGAAATCTCGATCTACAAATATACATAATTCAGGAAGGCCAGAAGAAAGGCCAAAAGATCTGCACAAACCTTGGAACCGTCCGATTTCTTGATAATGGCTTTCAGTGGCTTGCCTGGAGCAAACTCTCGCAAACCAACTATCGAAACTTTGTCGCCAGAATCAATCTTATCATAGTCAGCCGGGTTTGCGAAGGTCAACGGGAGCATTCCTTGTTTCTTCAAATTCGTCTCTAAAATATTTTTTTCGGATGCGACCACCATCGGCATTATTCCAATAGAAACCATACCGTGAATTCTGGCAAACGACTTGGTGATGATGGCTCTTCCTCCTAGATGTCGTGGCTCAAGAGCAGCATGTTCACGACTTGATCCCTCACCATAATTCTCGTCCCCAATCGCTACCCAATTCGCTCCATGAGCTTTGTAATAGCGCGCAGTATCTGGGACCGTGCCAAATGCATCCGTTAGATGGTTACGAACCTAGATAGTGATATTCGAAGCAGATCATAAAAAAATCAATTATAACTACTAAAATCTAGCGATTACCTTGTTCATTTCACCATTTTCCGCGTTTACAGCAGTTAAGAATAAGTTGTTAGAAATATTGTCAAGATGACCTCGGTATTTCAACCATGGCCCAGCGGCAGAAATATGGTCAGTGGTGCACTTCCCCTTAACTTTGATCAGAATAAGCATGTCTTCCAAATCTTTTCCATCCCATTTGTCAAACGGCTGAAGAAGTTGTAAACGGTCTGACTTAGGATCGACCACAACCTGAAACAATTGAACTACTTGACATCTGATTCTGAAAGAGAAATGTCTTTGCTCACCTCTCCAGAGTTTGAAGGTGGGTGGAAAGTGTCCTGGCCGGGATCGTAACCTTTCTGGGGAAGATCGTCTCCCGTCGGAGGTTTCAGCATGAATTTAGAGCCTGAACACAGTCCGATAATCTCCAAATGTGAGCAGAAAAGCAGCAGTCTCACCGTCCGGTGCGGTAACTGGGTCTTTTAAAGGATTGAAGTCGAGTCTTCCAGTTATAGCGAGTGCGGTCACAATGTCAGGAGATGTTACGAAGCCATGGGTAGCAGGATTCGCATCGTTCCTTCCAGTAAAGTTTCGGTTGTAAGAGGTCACAATGGTGTTCTTTTCTCCTTTCTTCACGTCCTGACGATCCCATTGACCTGAATTATGCTTCATGCAATCACCTCAGCACAATCATCACGGAAATCGCACTACATATAAGTCACAAGGCATGTTTTCTGGTGCTTTGGCGTGTGTTTGAGCGAAATTCTGCGACTCACTTTATTCCGAATCTACAGCGCTCAGATTAGGAAGGGATATAATCAACGCGTTTTACAGTTATAGCGAGTGCGGTCACAATCAGGAGATGTGTAACAAAGCCATGTGTTCGAGGAGACATTGTGAAATGGTGACGGTAAGCGGTGGGTGTGGTTCCGAAACCCATAAAAGGCAAGGACCACCGACTCCGTTAGGTCTGCTGTATTCAAAGTAGGGCTTGAATTTCGCATCTCGAGTGTAATGGTGCGAGATCACAGACGGTTAGTGACAGGAACGGATAATTGTTGTTAAGGGCTCACAAGGGATGTCACGACGCAAAGTTTGTGATACCTGCCTCGGTACCGTTCAACTTTGACAGGTAACATAGACGGTCGCTAACAAAAATAGATAAATTTGGATAAAAATGATAAAAGCAGATAAAAACAATAACATGTTGAGTTGAGCAAATTGGTTGCGTCCCTTACTGAAACCACTTCTGCCGTTCCTTGAGCTACTGAGCTCTGTAGCTACTGATATTGGAATGAATGTTAGGCTTGATCCCTCATATAGTCCAAGCTATGAGGGATTCATGAGTAATGCAACAATTATATCAATAGTTCAATTAGGCTGTTTACATTGTTGAGTAAATAAAACGTAATGGTCCTGTCCTGTAAGATCCCAGATTGAGTTTTAGGATACAATCGGATCAAAATTTCGATGGCGCAATCTGTGTTCACAAAACACAAAGTTGAATATAACCCCATACGATTTTCCAGAAAGCCCCTGGTAAGACGCAGCGAGATGTTTCTAGCATAGCAACAATCAATTGGAGCGAGGTGAAAAATTGCGCCCCAACAGGTGTTTACCACTCAGCATCTTTTTTTACGCTGGCCATTGTTGCGCCTGCTTGACAGCGTACACAGTCTCGCAACTCAAGAAACAGAGACCCCCGCTTCAAATCCAATAAATATCGATTGGAACAAGCAAAGAAAAAGCGGAAAGGGTTTATGTAAGACTCGATCTCATTGTTTCCTTTATTAGGGTTTAAACAGGACTGATGTGCCTCGACGAAAGTCTTAGATATCCGCAAAACCCTACCATCCTACCATCAACTGACCCTGCTCTACTTTCTAGAAGAAGGATTCTCATTACATTACATTACATATTTATCGTTGCACATCCATTTCGCCTCGAAGACTCTCCTACGCCGCATGGTCGCAAACTGTGTGCGCCTTTTTTCGTTCATGGCAAAAATCACACCAAATTGTAGATAGTTCACTCATAAAATGATTTGAGTTGGGCTATTTTTCGAGGTAGATAGGGTCTTCTCGAAATCCAGCTCTGATCGATGTCGAGGTGGAGGATAAAGGAAAACAAAAGCGAGGACTTGTAATGCATGGTACAACGCTTTACGACTTACACTACCCCTCGTCACTCACTCACTATTATCCAATAAACCTATTTAAGATTATCGTTTTTGCTCTACAACAAGTGCAACCGTAATCAAACCCTGTTTCATTGATTAGCAGACCTTATATATATGTATATATATATATATATATATGAAAATATAAAAAATTAACATGAAGGGAAATATAATAATTCTCTGTCATAATTGTAGGCAGAACTTTTACACAGAGTATAGAAGGTTTAGCAGTCAGAGAACTAACCGATGCAAGGTCCGCAAGCGTTAGCCAAAACCATCCCTCCGAAGTCACTGAAAATCTTTGAAAGCCCATCCCTTTCAATAGTAGCTCGAACTTGTTCCGATCCAGGAGTGATTGTGAACAAAGTTTTCGCCTGCAACCCTTTGTCGAGTGCCTGAAAAATTTGGGTCAAGATTTCAGGCCAGCAAATATGCGATAAAGGAACAACGATTGAAGGCCTTAAGCCAAGAGAACAAGGAGAGATGTTCATAACTCCACTTAAAAACAACAGTTTAACTCTCTGGAAAAATTCTCTTCTTGTTAGCGGAGTGTTCCCACGAATATGCATGGTCAACGGGAAACGATAAGCCAAAAGTTCGGCAAATTCACCAAAGAATTCAAGTTTTTAAAAGTAGGCCGCTAGAATAGATGCATCTTCTTTCTGATTATCCTTCAACTAGCAGAAAAATCTTCGGAAAGCTTATCGAAAATTGTCTTAGAGGCAAAAGCTAATCTTCTCAAAAGAACAAAAGTCATGCCCTCAAACGAACGAGACTGTAAAGAAAACAAACACACAAAAATTCGTGCTACCTTATCCAGCCAAAGCTAGACTGGACATGGTCATTTGAACCTCTCATGCCACCAAACCTCGTTGCAAAAAATATCCAAAATTTTTGTCGCATTCATTATTAGCTTTGGTATGATCTTAGAAAATGGAACCACATATCCCAGAGAATCTTTGCATCAACTCAGAACTGACTTCATTAGGCCACCTTCCAACTTCTAATCCGCTTTCTATTGTGATGAATGATTTGAACGGTCCAACGATTAATTCGAAAATAAAAGAGACGACAGCCTAATGTTACCCAGCAAGCAATGTCGAGTCAAGGAGATCGTTAAAAGGAAAGTGAACTTTCTAATGATGAAAATCGAAGCAACGCTTTTGTTTTATCTAAGCAGGAGTTCTACTATAACCTAGTAGCAATCATGAAATCCAGGCTTTGGTCGAAGATAAATCGGTCAATATTACCTGTTTAGCAATAGATGCAGCTCGTGTCATATCTTCATATGAAGAGTTGGTACATGAACCGATCAGAGCGACTTTAATGTCCAAAGGCCATCCATTTTTCTTTGCATTTTCACCTAGTTTATCGATAGGTGAAGCCAGATCGGGAGTGAAAGGACCATTGACGTGCGGAATAAGAGTATCCAGATTCAGGTCGATGACCTTAACAAGAAAAACACTCGCTAAATATAAGAGAAAAGAAGAGAAATGGCGTTTCCAAACCTGATCGTAGTGGGCTCCAGGATCCGCAGTGAGAAGATCCTTGTACTTCTCAGCTTCTTTCGCGATGGCTTCTCGACCAGTAGCCTAAATTCAAAAAACAGCGCATTGAGTCATCACCTGCCAAAATGGAACACATGATTCGAGTTGGCTGAAGAGAAAATAACTTCAGCTCACCGCAAGATATTTCTTCATGCTATCGTTGAATGGGAAAACTGACGTAGTTGCTCCGATCTCTGCTCCCATGTTGCAAATTGTCCCCATTCCGGTGGCCGAAATTGAGTCAACACCAGGTCCAAAGTATTCAACAATGGCTCCGGTACCTCCCTTTACAGTCAGAATGTCGGCTACCTTAAAAATTAACTTCGACCAGTTTCAACTGTCAAGTAACTTCATCACATTACCCACCTTGAGAATGACGTCTTTAGCCGAAGTCCATCCGGAGAGCTTGCCAGTCAGCCGGATTCCGATCACTTTAGGACACTTCAATTCCCAAGGAATATTGGCCATGACATCTACCGCATCAGCTCCTCCGACTCCAATGCACAATCCACCAAGACCACCTACACACGATCAGATTCACGAGAATCAAGAAGTCTTTCAAATGGACGTACCTCCGTTGGGAGTGTGAGAGTCGGTTCCAATGAGGAGGAGTCCAGGGAAAGCATAATTTTCTAGGATGATCTGATGGATGATTCCAGATCCTGGTTTCCAAAAACCGACACCGTACTTGTTTCCTGCCGACTCGAGGAAGTTGTATACCTCTTTGTTAAGCTCCTAAATTGAACACATAATTAACTGCTGAAGGTATCGGGTTCTTTCGAGAAAAAAGTAGCCATCGCTAACAAGGGGTGTCACTGAATTCATACCTTCGCTCTGGTAAGATCAGCATCTCCTCCTTTCTGCGCTTGGATCAAGTGGTCACAATGAATTGTGGATGGTACTGCAGCCTGAAACGTGAACGAACGTATTGTATCGCAACAGTTCGACCCGTGCGAAGACGATTTGGTCTCACTTTCGGTAATCCTGACGAAATGAATTGGAGCATCGCCATCTGTGCCGTAGCATCTTGCATAGCCACTCGATCCGGCCGTAACCGCAAATAAGAGACTCCACGTTCAATGTGTTCTGTAGCTGGTTGATCCAAATGGCCATACAGAATTTTCTCGGACAAAGTCAGCGGCCTCTTCAATCTGAAAGGCCGAGAATCAATCATATGGATAGTTGGCTTACAGGAAGAAATATCGCGACCATTCAAATGCATCGAAATAGCGAAACGTAAGGGCCACATTGTAACCGAAACGATCGCAAGCCATGGAAGGGACAGAGACTGTGATAGCCCACATACTGGTGTGAATATCGGCTTGCGTTCAGTAAATGCTGTGAACTTCGATGCACTAATTCACCCTTCTCAAGTATAAATCACAACTAAAGAACCAAAAAAAAGTATGGACTCGGCTCCTACGGAGAACTTGCATCAAATAAAGTGAGTGCACGCAGAATTCATGTACAAGATATCTCTCTTCACGGCATAAACCTATTTGAGTACACAAATTCTCATCCCGCCACATACACGACACATACAGTAGAGGCATTCAACTCTTTCAGTGATTTCTGGGTGATCTAAAATGTAATGTACGCAGAATTTCACAAGCACCTAGTTGCTTTAACAGCAAACCCCATTCATCACGATCGATCGAGTGGAACTACAGCAGGATAGCTGTGAAAGGCGAATGTTCGTACTGAGCTTTCGTTGATGTTTCATAATTAGTTAGCGACATAACTACGATTTTCAATGCCCTGAACTCTCGCAGTAACGCTTTGGGTAAAATTCGACGCAGCACGGCCACGAACCGATAAAAGGGCATCCACATGTTTCACTATCAACCGTAGGAGCAAAATACCTCACAACACGAATACGTACTCCACCAGAAAGTGACTGCAATTAAGAAAAAGCCTGTAGGTATATGGTCAATGGCTAGACCATTTAGCCATCTTCCCTATTTGATTACAATCGTAGTAGCATAGTAAAGGTCTATAAAGAAAATGGACTACTCAGACTGTCAAATCATTGAGTTGGAGACAATTTCGATTAGCACGTTCAAAACATTCAGCATCGATGCGAATGTGCGTTCAACTCACTAGCGTCTCATAAAATGGCAAGATTGGCCGGTTGTCATAAGGTGAATCATGAAATGTTCCCCCTTTTCAGGTATGTCCTTAAGAATGCCCAAGAAGAAATCGAAATACCCAAAAACGGATTCAGGAGCAGGGCCGTCAACTCCTCACGAGTAGCTGTAGCCCTCACACCAGTAACTTGCAATCACAATTCTACTCAACGTATGAAAGAAAGAAGCAAAAGAAATACTCGCCGATCTCTGACAATCTTCACATTTTGAGTTAACTTCTCATATGGTAGGTACACATCTTTCTCGAATTTGCTGATAGGAACATTTGCCTGAAATAGATTACTCTGTTCACAATAAGTAATATAGATTCTGAAGAAATAAATGCATTACATCTCACGATCATTAAATGCAAGAAGACGCTTCTCAAAATCACAAGGCCTTTCTCAAGCTGGAACCATTTCTACGTCTATTCTTACGATCTCTAACTGGCTGCTTTCAGACTTCGTCGATTCTATCTGCGTGCGTGCCAGCAGGAGCGAGCAAGCGAGCGGCTATGCGACGCGGCGCTAGAGAGTTGTTGACAACAGTGGACGCCGATGAATCACGTACCAGTTCAGCCAACAGGTGGCGGATGCACGCAGGTAGAATAGTCGAAATATGAAATCAGCCACTGAGCGCCTCCATATTCCGACGCCGACAGCAGCATTGGCAGTGGACCGTCGTGAAAT